AACCATTATTGACAAAGGAAGTGTCTCACAGAATCCTGGAAGAAACAGATAGTACAGTACAATTGGATGCTTTCAATGCAGAGTTGTAAAAGGGCACTATTAGGCAGAGACAGAGAAATCGCAGGGCAGATATGTGCCCTGCAGCCAGTGCCAGGGGCTCAGTTATTGCACAACACGTGCTTCTGTGCCCTGTGCTCCATCTCTTAACTCATCTTTAATTTCTTTCTTTCTTTTTCTTTTTTCCTATATTTTAGGGAAGGGTCTACAAAGTGTTCAGGCTCTCAATACTAGGTCAGACTCATAGTGATTCTCCTGTTTACCGACTCCCAAGTGCTGGGATTACAGCCAGTCTTAATCACCATCTCAGTGCACCCCTGGAGCAGGGCTGGCAAGGCAAAAACAGGGATTGAACCCTCAGCCTCTGTGCCTGTTTGCAGGTACTTTCATCCCCTGAGCTATTTGTGCGGCCCTGTTCTTTTTTTATTTTTATTTTTATTTTTTGTGTTTAGGACAGGGTCTACAGGGTCTACAGGGTCTGCAGGGTCTACACTGTAGAGATTAGACTCCTAGTGATCCTCCTGTTTACAGCCTCCCAAGTTCTGGGATTACAGATGCGCTCCACCACGCCCAGTCTCAACTGCACAGCAGGCTGGTTTAATTTCATCTAAGCTACAGAAGAAAATTCTATGTACACTTCCTACTGTTTTATTTTTATTCTTCAGTAATTTTTCTGGAAGCACAGGAAATCTACAGGGATCAAAATCTCAGGAATAGAGAAATGAGGTGCAGTAGGACAGTACATGTAAGTATCCACTTTTCATCTTCAAGACACAAAATCCTGAGGAATATCCTGCTTGGATCCCTTGGGGTGGGGCCCCTGACAAACTTGATCTCTCATTATTTGAATTTTTAACAAACTCAGGAATATACCTTTTCTCCATTTTGCTATTTCTTCCTGATAATTTCTGGATAATTCTTAATAAATATACCAATGTTCAAAATACCAATATTTGGATAATTCTAAATAAATATACCAATGTTCAAAATACCAATATTTAAATATTCAATATCTGAAATATCAATATGCAAATTTTTATCTTAGCTCTTCATGAGGAAAACAACATTGAGATTGCTCTTAGATTCTAATATTATTTGAGAAATATGTAAAGAAACTTTCAGAACCAAACCAGGCATCTGCTTTTTATGAAACTACTCTATTGGCATCTACTCTGTTCTACTCTACTCTACTCTACTCTACTCTACTCTACTCTACTCTACTCTACTCTACTCTGTAGTCATCATTATTTAAGATGACTAAGATAATCAATCTAGTATGTCTACAAATAACAAATAATGAATAAGTAATGACACAGTAACTATACATGTAGACCTTCCCATTAGAAGAGTATAAAACATTTCACATGGGAAACTTTAAAAACAATGAATAAAATAGTTCCAAGGCTTATTTGGGATGAATAAAAACTCAGTGGTCTGTATGCTAGTAGTATAGTGATGTGGTAGTTACATGAAGGTATTGTGTTATCAAAACTTTGTACATCCTTAGTACATCCTTCTTAGATCAAAAGGAATAAGAATAGAGAAGAGCGTGCAAACTCACAGAGAGAACGGGTTGCAAAAAGCTATCAGATGATGGCCTAGGCTCTGAGTCAGGACTGTGCTTCTGCTTACGACCTATAAATGAATGAATGAATGAATGAATAAGTAAATGGGAAAGTGTGAACTTCACTTTCTTCTTTCTGTCAAGATCCAAGTAATAAGTTCATGTATGCATGCTCTTACTACAATCAGCCAGGGACCAAAGGGCTAGACAGAGCAACCTCACATAAACCCCAAATCCCATTGGTAGACCAAAGTAAAGTGCCTCTTTCTCAGCCTCTCGGAGGCTCTGTTTTCCCCATGAGAGCTGGATTCTCACTGATGACGCTGACTGGACTACAGGAGGAGTGGAAACTGCAATTTGGAAATAAGGCACAAAGATGCTCCCACCTTTGTATATCAGGCATCATTTTTCTGTTTCACTAATGGACTAAAGCACACTACCATCTGGAATGAAGAATGTTTTTCATGATAGAAATAACTAGAAATGTTTCTGTCAGAAAACACTATGCTGTACTTCCCGATGGTATAATATATGGGAGTTTTAATGCATACGCACAAGGCACATGTTTTACAAAAGATGTTTATTTTATAATAAAGTATTCTTTATAATGACTACAATAATTAATCTGTCTATGAATAGCTAAATAATGAATAATGTGACTCAGTGGTGACACATGTAGACCTTGGCATTAGAAGAGTATAGAATATTGCACATAGGAACCTTTAAGAACAAAGAATAAAATTCTTCCAAGGCTTGCTTGGGATGAATAAATACTCAGTGGTCTATGTGCTAGTAGTAGAGTGATTTGGTAGTTAGACAAAGGTATTGTGTTATCAAAACTTTGTACATCCTTTGATAGCTGATGCTTCTCCCTCTAACCAGGCTGATATTTATTCTCTTTAACATAGATTTTATTTATTTTTTAAAATTTTTATTTATTTATTTGGCATGGAGTCTCACTAAACAGCTCAGACTCATACTCATCTTCCTTTCTGAGTCTCCCTAGCTCTGGGATTACAGGCATGCACCACTACTCTGGTTTCAGTGGCCATCTCAGGGCAGGGCCAGCACAGGAATTGAACCTGCATCCTTGTGCTAGCATGTCAGGCAGATACTTAGACCACTAAACTATCTCCCTGGTCCTTTAACATAGATTTTAATGGCAAAATAGTTTACATAAAATTCAAAGTAAAAATTAATATGATATTTATATTTATACTATAAAACAGTGTATATAACACTGTACAACAGAAATATGTTGTAGACAATGGAAAAGTTGTAGGCTATTGTTATGATTTGTGTATACTTGTTCCCCCAAAGCCTCATGCAGTCATGGGGTGGCTTCTGGAGTTTGTGATTGATTATTATGGGCATGGGTGCTGTACCTGCCCTGGGGCAGGTAATCTGCATTACAGTGTAAGGAGGGGAGAGAGGCCAGCTAGCTGCCTGAGCTGCTGCCACTCCCTTTGCTCTCTGCTCTTTGCCACTGCCATGGATCGGCTTCTCTCTGTCCTGTGCTACTCTGCCCTGGAGCCAGCTGAGCATGGACTAAAATCTCCAGTAACTGAGAGCTAAATAAACCTGTCCTTCCCTAATTTTGAGTGTTGGGTATTTGTCCCGGCAATGAGAAAAGAGTAACTAAGACAGCTGTACTGAAATAAAATTTATGTAAATACATCGAAGGGTAGGACATCCTTAGGTACAAAGTGCCAAGAGCTGGGCTAATAGGGAGAGACAGCAGCCCCGGAGAGCTAACAGCTTAGAATGCTCCCCAGAAAAACCAAGAAACTACAAGCAGTCACTTGTATTTTAGTCATTGAATTCAGAGGCCAGTGATATTTTAGGATGGCCTTAGTAGTTTACTGTAATCTAGGAAATCCAATTTAAAATATTTAATCTACAACAAACACAAAATATTATAGTAGTCTCAGGATAAAGAAATAAATGTGCCTGTTTGAGAATAGGATGGGGAGATTGCAGGGGTACTGGACACAAGAACACCATTGGAGAAATGAAGAAACTCTTATCTCTAAATATTTTATGGTGGGAAGTTAAATTTTTAACAATACCTAATAAATTGAGAGCATATGCTGTTTACAATGATGTTAGACTGGAATTCCTGAACGATTTTATCTCAGTGACAAAATACAAGCCTCACATTGAATAAACTACTATAGATTTCTGCAAGAGACATAATTTTATATAATTTTCCTTGCTCAACAGAAAATGTCTATTACTGAGTCTTATAGCAAACTACAGTGTTATCGGTTCACACAATCACACAAGTCATTGTTTTCTAATTCAAACAGACCTCTTTTAATCAATTGCCAGTCCAATTTGGTAATACAGCATGACCAAAGGTTGTATTTTTTCAATACTTTTTAATAAAATAATATAAGACAAATTAGAGCCATAACAATTTTATTGAATGTATTCAAAAGAATCAACTGTTTGAAATAATACTTGCTCCATGGATGTTCAGGATATTTAGAACATGAGCAATTGCTGCCCAAGGGACATTTGGAATAAACTGCTTTAAAAATGTTTCCACTGGCTGGGGTTCCAGCTCAGCAACATAGTACATACCGAGCAAGCAGAGGTCCTGAGTTTGATTTCACTACCAAAATAAATGTTTAAGAAAATGCTTTCATCATGTTAAACAGTCCAAATCCCTTTTATTATAAGATTATTTTGTAAAGCACCACAATAATCTTGAAACTTTAAAGTTATCTATGACTTAAATGACAATTTCTTTCTTACTGCAAATATACTAATCTCCAGTGAATTTAACTTGCTTAAAGAATGTCATATACTAATGCTGTACAGAGAATGCAATAAATTCTAATTGATGAAAACAAATCACCTGTCCACACTTTACTTGTAGATATTTAACACTTGAAATACAACATAAACGCGTAAGTGAAATAAACCAGACCCATATGTGTAAATGTCGCATAATCTCCTTGTTGTAAGAACTCAAAAGAAGAAATAAAAATAGAAAGGTATAACACAATTAAAGGAAAAGCGAAAAATTAAGGATTAAACAATGAAGAAAGGGCAAGGAGAAAAGCTAGGAAACATGACAGGGGCAAAACCATACATTTCTTTGCACAAAATGGTTAAGGCAATGATCCTGAGACTCTTAAGCAAGTTTTGGACACTAACAGTTAATTGGTAGGATTCTCACCCTGACTAACTATATATGCTCATAACTGTGAATTAAGCAACTACAATGAAGAAAGCAATGTGTAATATTTGGGCCATGCTTGGAATGCCTCTCATTCTGGTCTTCTAAATATGTACTGCTTCTAATGTCATATCAATTACTGTTAAGCTGTCTCTCAAGTAAATGTTTAAAAAAGGAGTAATAATAGAGCCGGGAAAATGGTGGCTTCGGGCAAGAGCAGCGCCTCAGGCGGCGGGGGCAGCACAGAGGAAGCATTCATGACCTTCTACAGTGAGGTAAAACAGATAGAGAAAAGAGATTCAGTTCTAACATCCAAAAATCAGATTGAAAGGTTGACGCGTCCTGGATCCTCTTACTTCAATTTGAACCCATTTGAGGTTCTTCAGATAGATCCTGAAGTGACAGATGAAGAAATAAAAAAGAGATTTCGTCAGTTGTCCATATTGGTGCATCCTGACAAAAACCAAGGCGATGCTGACAGAGCACAAAAGGCTTTCGAAGCTGTGGACAAAGCTTACAAGTTGCTACTGGATCAGGAACAAAAGAAGAGGGCCCTGGATGTAATTCAGGCAGGAAAAGAATACGTGGAACACACTGTGAAAGAACGAAAAAAACAATTAAAGAAGGAAGGAAAACCTACAAATGTAGAGGAGGATGATCCGGAGCTGTTCAAACAAGCTGTGTATAAACAGACCATGAAACTGTTTGCTGAGCTGGAAATTCAAAGGAAAGAGAGAGAAGCCAAAGAGATGCATGAAAGGAAACGACAAAGGGAAGAAGAGATTGAAGCTCAAGAAAAAGCCAAACGAGAAAGAGAGTGGCAGAAAAACTGTGAGGAAAGTCGAGACGGTCGGGTGGACAGCTGGCGAAACTTCCAAGCAAATACAAAGGGGAAGAAAGAAAAGAAAAATCGGACCTTCCTGAGCCCACCAAAAGTGAAAATGGAGCAGCGCCAGTGACCGGCTGGGTCCAGCCGCAGAACCCTGCCCTGGCTCTTTCTTTCCTGCTTTGAAGGACTCATTCTTTCCTCCCACCTCCACCCAAACATAGAGTAGTATTTGCTTTTTAGTCCATTTTGTTTTCAATACAATTTAATATCAATCAGA